GATGAAATTCAGTATCTATTCATGAAGATGCTCTTAGCAAACAGTATAAGGCAACTTTCTCAATCTGGTATTTGGTATTTTAGAGTAAACATTATATTTAACGGTGAAACCTTGAAAGCTTGCAATTTGAGGTCAGAAACAAGACAGAGATGCAGGCTGTGATTGCTTTTAGTCATCATTCTATTAAGGATTAGTGAGGCAAGGAAAAAAACAAAATACAGACTGTCAAAGCAGATGAAATGATTGTGAACACAAAATCCAAAGTCTCCTACAGATAAATTATTAACTTTAACAAGAGAATTAGGAACTAGGCAAGCTGCTGCCATTGCCCTGGGACCCCCTAGTGTCCTGAGGCATGGAGTCCTCAGGTATGGAGCCAGGAGAAGCCCAACCCAGCTGCAACTAAGCATGCTGCTGCCACCGCCCTAGGGCCCAGCTGGAGTCCTGAGGCATGGTTCTGGGGGAAGCCAAACCCAGCCACAACTAGGCAAGCTGCCACTGCCACCCCAGGACCCCACAGAGGTACTGAGACATTGAGCTGGGGGAAGCTGAACCCAGCAACAACTAGGCATGCTGCCACTGCTGCCCTGGGGCTCTGCTGGGGTCCTGAGATGTGGAGCCAGGGGAAGCCAGTCCCAGCTGCAACCAGGTAAAGAGCACACCAAAAACACCATTTCCATATGGGTAGTCCACCATAGCCACTGCAGTTGCCATGGCTGCCATGAAAGCCGCTAGTCTCTTTAGCAGCATTCACAGCCACTGTGCAGAAGGCACGACAGACTCTCAACTGCATTGACACAAGGAGAGGCACCAGCGGAGACCAAAAAAAAAAAAGAAGAGGTCCTCTCTCCACAAAGCATACTCCAGAGTAATAGAAAAAGCATCTTAGCAGCATTCACAGCCACTGTGCAGAAGGCACGACAGACTCTCAACTGCATTGACACAAGGAGAGGCACCAGCAGAGACCAAAAAAAAAAAGAAGAGGTCCTCTCTCCACAAAGCATACTCCAGAGTAATAGAAAAAGCATCTGCTTTATGATATTAGGTGAGGACTTGATCATACCTCAGAGCTGGACAGATCATCTAGGCAACAAATCAACAGAACAGTTAATCTATCAGATGGAGAGAACAAATCTGGTTATTAGAGGTGGGAGGGGGGAGGGGAAGGGGAGAAATTGGATAAGAGGCTTAAAGAATAAGTATGATTTGTAATAATAATATGCTAATAAAAAATAAAAAACAAGGCCGGCCTGTGGCTCACTGGGTTCAGATCCCTATGTAGGGATGGCTGGTTAGCTCACTTGGGACAGTGTGGTGCTGACAACACCAAGTCAAGGGTTAAGATCCCCTTACCAGTTATCTTTAAAAAAATAAAATAAAACAAAACATAAGAAAATGAGAATTAGTAAGGTAGCTTGATATACAAAATTAAAAATGAAAAAATGTTTAATCTGGTATATAAGAGTCAATTCTATTTCTATGTAGCAGAAATAGTTAGAAATGGAAATAAAGGAAAAATCTTTATAAGCATTAAAAAAATCAGGCACCCAGGAATCATTCCTAAAATTATGTATGGGAATATACAAAACCTCATTGTGAGATACTAAAGAAGACCTAAAGAAATGGAGAGAATTACTATTTGTGGATTTAAAGCTTCATTTTTTTTTTTTTTTTTTTTTTTTTTTTTTTATTTTTCCGTGTCCGGCAACGCGGCAATGGATCGCAACCCTCAGTGTCGTGCCCATACCGGACCGGGACCGGCAACGGGATCGCAACCCTCGGTGTTGCCCCTGCTCCTTGCTCAGCCCGTGAACGGGAACCGGTCTGTATGTGGGATCCGAACCCTCGGCGGGAGCGCTGCTGCGCTTCCCAAGTGGCGCACTGTAGCAGTGCGCCACCGGGCCGGCCCCTAAAGCTTCATTTTTAAAGTCAATTCTCCCCAGTTGATATACAGACTCAATGATATCCCAACAATAATTTCAGAAGATTTATTTAGGTTTAAATAGATAAGATGATTCTAAAGTTTATAAGGAAATGCAATAAGGTAAGAAGCCAAGATACTTTTGAAGTAGAAAAAGAGCAAGTTAGCAGGACTTGATTTACTAGATAGATATTAAGATTTATTTTGTAGTTAGCACATTGTGGTGTTAGCACAGGGCTAAGCAAAGAGATCAACAGAATGGAATAGATATCTTGGAAATAGACTGTCACATATGTGGACACTTGATTTTTGACAGGGTCACTATGGAACAGTGGTGAAAGGGCTTTAAAGAAATGGTGCCAAGACAGTGGGCTTTCATAATGCAGAAACAAAATTGACTCCCTACTTCACAACATATACAACAAATCAGTTCTGGGTGGACTATAGACCAAAAAATTTTAAAAAATAAAAGTTTTAGAGAAGAATATTATCTTAGTCCGGGTAAGACTTATCAAGTAAGATACAAAAAGCACAGAACATAAAGGAATAGTCATAGTACATTATGATCATCAAAAGACACTAGAGTGAGAAAAACAAATATGTAAAGTGAAAGAATATTGTTGCAACACATACCCAACGAAGGTCTTGTATTTAGAATGACATTGATTTTTTAAATTATATTTTTATGTATAATTATCTATTATAAGTATAATTAGATAAGTTTATATATTATTAGAATCAGTAAGAAAAAATACAGCTTAATGGAAACAGATTTGAACAGGCATTTTACAAAAGAAGAAATTCAGATTATTTATAATTATGAAATGGTGTTCAACCTCATCAGGAGTCAGTGAAATGTAAATTAAAACCGTTATGAGATTTAAGTGTCCTCCTTAAAGTTGCAGAAAATTTTTAAGTCTGAAAATATCAAATGAGATTGAAGTTGTGGAGGCATGGTGGAATTGGAACTGCTGATGCAAGTATAAATTGGTACAATCGCTCTGGAAAAGTTTGGTATTATCTAGTGATGTTGAACATATGCATGCATATGTGTTACCTAGTAGTTCTTTCCTGTATATATAGGGAGAGAGACAAACTTGTGCATGTGACCCAGTACACATGTGCAAGAGTACTTGAAAAAGTTTATGGAAAAATTCATACCATCTTTTAATTCTATTTTTCCACAAATTTTTGAAGTATCCTCATATAAGAATCTTATGGCAGCATTGTTTGGAATAGTCCAAACTCAGAACTAGGCCAAATGTCCATCAGCAGTAGAATGAGAAGATGAATAAATATTCCACTGCAGTGAAAAGAAAAGAACCACAGCCACATGTACCGTCATGGGCACATACTACAGTGTTGAATTGAATAAATCAGACGTAGAAGAATATATACAGTGTATTTTTATTTACATATAGTTCAGAAGCAAAATTCTTTTTTCTTTTTTTGGTAGCTGGCTGGTAACAGTGATCAAACCCCAGACCAGAAACAAAATTATATTGTCTAGAACATGGATTCTCAATGGGAGTTACACTGTTTGTTCTCTTTGGCGGCAAAAATTGATTGTTGGGAGGTGGAAAAAAAAAAAAAACTTAGGTATTACAATGGTTATGGCCCTCCAAGTTTAACCCTAATTGACAAAATCTTTGCTTCATATTTATTTCTCTTTGTATTTAATTTTCTTGGGTATCACATGAGCACCATTTACACTGTCATTGAATTCATGGAAGATATAAAAGGCTGTTCAATATGCAAGATCAGTGCTGTAAAACTGGTGGATAGACGACTGATTGGAAGACTTTGAAGTGCTTACTTGATTTCGAAGTCAACACAAGAGGTGGTCTGCACATGCCTATTGGTTGCCATTGGCTGTTTGTGGATGATGTTTATGTCCCTCAGTATTTTGTGTGGTGTGACTTTGGTTTTTAAAATTGAATAAAATTATTTTGTTTTATTGTTTAATTCTAGAGAAGTTATTCAACTCATCATTAATTATACAAGTACTGAAAAGAAAAAAAATGTCAACAATATCTTAATGAATATCTAGTAGTTAGTTAAAAGTTATCTTTTTATAGCAAGCAAAAGTTAAAAGTTTACTAAATATTTTAGGAAATTAATTTTCTCCCCCCCACCCTATTTTTTTTTTTTGCAGCTGGACAGTTACAGAGATACAAACCTTGACCTTGGTTTTACAAGGCTGTACTCGAACCAACTGTGCTAACTGGCCAGCCTAATTTTTTCAGTTATTTTACTTTTGCTGGAAAAATAACAGTTTTGAACAGTGTCTGAACAATTTGGTTGCATTGCTATTATTATATATTTATATAAATGGTAGTTTGCATATGTAATTTGATGCATCACAATTCGTGTAAGTAAATAAATTACATTAAAAAGCAAATACAGTTTTAAGGTTAAGTTCACTTCCAGTAGCCTTTAAAATTCTACTTTAACTTCTAACTTGAAAATGTTTAAATATTCATAACTGCATTAGATAAAAAGAGTAAGCTTTATATATTCTTTTTATGTATAAAAACACAGATGCACATTCCATTATGTGAACAGGCTGTATATCCATGGTATTAAAATTTCACAGGGGAGTGAATAGGAGAAAATTTCTGAAAAGGCTCATTAGGATTGATAATGAAAAAATAAAAGGTCAGTAAACACTGGTCTAGAAATAGGTACACAGGTGGTAAAACTATAAAGAAAAGCAGGGAAGTGATTACCATAATATTCAGGTTAACCCTGAGGGAAAGGTAGATGCTGGGTGTTTTCTAGAGTGCTCACTATGGTTTATTTACCTAGGTGGGCCACTCAGATATTTGCCTTGTAGTTATGGATTAGTCTATATGTTCATGTTTTATATACTTTTCTATGTAATATTTCACGGTGAAAAGGTTAAAGTAGTTTGTAGACTTTAATTTAAAATATAGAAATTCAGAATGTTATTTGGATTGTATATATGCATGATTGTGAACTAAATTTCCAACTTAATAACATTTCTTAATTAAAAAATATAGATGTCGATTGATGAAACTGAACAAAAACAGAAATGCTAGTTTTTTTGTTTCCCCAGATGGGCCCAGTTCTTCATCCATCCACTAATGATCAGAGATGCAATTGACCGTGAAGTTGAAGCTGTTGATAGTGGTAAGAAAAGTGCTTTATGTCTTATTATAATTTTTCTTATATTGAACCAGTTATTTAGCACATTTATTATTCTTTATCACTAGGCTATTTTATCTTTATATCTTAAAGGGCAGAATTGAAATAGATGTGTCATGTCTATTCCTGAAGTCAATAAATGTCTAATTCAGTATAGATTTGAAATAAATAAAAAAGATGATGGATTTTAATTTATTCATCCTTTGTTTTATTGAGGGTTTTACCATAGTGGCTAATCTTTTACAGGATAGGAGCCTATTACTGTGTGTTAAAACTTTAAAAATTCACTTAACTCTTTTTGTATGAAGAAACATTATCTCTGAGGCTTTATTTTAAGTATACTATTCTGGTATTTATATAGCTTGTCCTTTGTTAGCTACAAGGGTACTTCAAAAAGTTCATGGGAAAATAGAATTAAAAGATAATACAAATCTTTCCATGAACTTTTTGAAGTAACCGTATATGTGGCTTGAATTTTGGTTGTTCTGAAAACAACTGTGATATCTTTGTGGATGAAGAAATTAAGTCCCTGAGCAGGAAATGCATTTAATTTTACTTTTTGACTGTTTCTCTTACCTTTGGGATTTAAAAGATGAAGGCAATAAGTAAAACTGGGCTTAGTGGGTCAAAGCTTTATTACAGCTGTGCTATAAATATTCCTTAATTATGTAGTACCAATAGATACCACCATTGTAGATTAACACTGCTTGCTTTATTTTTGCATTAGAAACATGTAATATTAGACTTGGGAGGACTTCTAATCCATATAGGTTAGGCTTGGCTTGTAGCAACTACAGAGTTAAGGTCTCTGTCTTTGTTCCTCTTTTTGTAGTATTTTCCTCTTTGGCTTGATTCAGTGTTTAGTTCTAGTAATGACTTACTGCATTCACTAAGCTAAGTAAACTGCAGATGGCTAAGTCTAGTTCTGACTTACTGCATTCACTAAGCTAAGTAAACTGCAGATGGCTAAAAAGAGCCATCTGTCTGGAATGACTTACTGCATTCACTAAGCTAAGTAAACTGCAGATGGCTAAAAAGAGCCATCTGTCTGGAAGTCAACAGACCTCTGTTTAACTTACAGAAATGACACTAGCTGTGGTCCTCAATTTATTTGAAAAGAGGATGGGATGGTTACATTCCTCCTAGCTCTCCTAGCTCCTTGTAATCAAGGGTTTGTTTTCTTCATTTTTGTTACTTGCCTAGCACAGTGTCAGTTTTATCTTAGACTCAGATAAGTATTTGTTGAACGGATGAAAAACCAAAACAACTAAGGAAAACTTTAAAAGCCCTTCCAATGTTTTGAGACCTAAGAACTATTATCTGTTTCTTAAATGCTGTCTAGTATGTATGTTTTTTTCACACAAATATCTAGGGTGGGTTGAAATCAGTGTTTAAAAAAGAAGACCTTTAATTTGATTATACAAGTTTAAGTCAATATCTTATTATGCTTTGAAAAAGTATGCAGAAATATTTAAATATGAGTATATACACATACTCATATGTGATATTTACACAGACACATATATATACACACAGTACAGTTTTGGTTTAAGGTGAACTTAAGGTAAAGATCTTGCTGTGTTTTTGTTTTTGTTCATTTGTTTGTTTTTAATAATAGGAAACCTATATTTTAATTTGTGATCTGACAGTTATAACTGATGTAATAAATTACTTAAATACTCATTACTGGTTTTGAAATCTCAATAATCAAGTGGCATTTTTTCCTGTTCTATTAAATGTGACAGTCTTTTTTCTATCATTCAGGCGTTATTTGTCTCATTAACATCTTTTTAGTTGGCTGCATGCTTAGATGACCAATTCCATATATAAGGAGATGAAAGGAGGTTCAACACTCTTGGCAAATTCATCTTTCTATATGGTTATTTTCCTTTTCCTTTACTCATCTCTACCTGCTTATGGAAGAGATTCTTTCCTGGCTTTTTAATGTACTGAAGTGCTAACTTCATTTTACTTCATCAGTGTTCCTTGTATTGATAATCTGTTTTTGGTATAATCTTTCAATGGAGTGTGTGTATATACATTTTCAAGCGTTTATTTGCACAATGTAAATAGATTGGTTCATGTTCTATAATTTTCTTAAATATATTTGATAACAGAAGTTCATGTAACATATCAACACTGTAGGTTTTAAAAATGGGATTAATATATTGCTAAAAGAAGATTGTGGAGAAAAAGTTATCTGCAATAATTAACTAAAGAGTTCTCACATAAACATGTATAATTGCCCATATAACGTGTTTTAGTGATTTAGATGTATAGTCCTTGAGATCCAATTACCTTTTAAATGTCCCACCTTCCACCACCATATTGGAGGGGTAAATTGCAACATGAGCTTGGGGGGGACATTTAAACCACAGCATCCCACACCTGGGCCCCCAAAGCTCATGTCCCTCTCACATATAAGTACATTCATTTCATCCTCATATCCTCAAAGTTTTACCTTGTTCCAGCACCAACTCAAAAATGTCCAAAGTCCCATCTGTGAAATTTAAACAGATTACTAAGATTCAATGGTGAGAAAGGCATAAAACAGAAATTCACATTCCAAAATGGAGAAGTGAGCCAAAAGGAAGGATTAACAGGTCTGGATCAAGTCCAAAACGTAGCAGGGTAGGTATCAAGTCTCAAACTGGAGGATAATCTACTCCCTATCTGGCATCCTCTGCACACTGATGCAGTTATTAGGCCTCCAAGTCCTTGGGCAGCCCTGCCCCTATGGCTTTCTTGGGCTCAGCCAGTGTTCAGCTCTACCAGACTGGTGTTCCACACTAGTAGCTCTACCGTTCTGGGGTGTTGGTGGTGGTCTTGCTCTCACAGCTCCACTAGGCACGGCTCTGATGGGAGTTCTCTGTTGCAACTCTGACCCCACATTTCTGCTTAGCATTGCTCTAGTGAAGACTCTCTGCGGTGACTGTGCCCCTACAACAAATCTCTCCCTCTACTCCCAGGCTTTTCCATACATCCTTTGAAATCTGGGTCGAGGGTGCCATACCTCACAGCTCCTTGCGTTCTGCCAACCTGTAGACTTAACACCACATGGACACTGCAAAGGTTTCCTGCTTCCAGCCACACCTGGAGCCATTTTAACTACATCTGGGGCAACTAGAGCTGCTGGGGTGCTGGGAGCAGCATCTCAAGGTGACTCTGGGCCGTGAGCCCATGGAGAGTACCTCAGGCCTGTTCTTCAAAACCGTTCTGTCTCCCTAGGCCTCTGGGCTTGTGATTGAAGGAGCACCCTCGAAGATCTGTGAAATGCCTTTGGGGTCTTCCATTCTCTTGATGATTCCTTCTTTCTGTACTAATTTCCTTAACAAATGGTCTCTGGGCTACACTCTTGATTTCCTCTCCCGAACACACTTTTTCACTTTTTACACGGCCAGGCTGAGAGTTTTCCAATTTTTCCCCCTCTTCTTCCCTTTTAATTATAAATTCCACCATTATGTCATGTCATGACTTTGCTGCCATAACTCAGTATAGGCTGTTAAAAGTATCCACACAGCTGCCTGAATGTTTTGTTGCTTAGAAATTTCTTCTTCCAAATACCCTGGGTCATTACTTTTAAGTTCCACATTCCATAAAGCCCTCCAGCGGGGACACAATTCAGCCAAGTTTTTTGCCAGTTCATAAGAAGGGTGATCTTTGCCCCAGTTTCCAATAAGCTCCTTCTCATTTACATCTGAGATCTCTTCAGTACAGTCTTTACAGTCTGTATTTCTTTCAGCTTTCTGGTCACCAGCATTTAACCAATCTCTAAGAAGTTTCAAACTTTCCCTTATCTTCTAATCTCTCACAAGAATATAGGCTTTCTCTAGCCTGTTCCTCCAAATTCTTCCAGCCTCTGCTCATCACCAGTTCCAAAGCCATTTCCTTATTTTTAGGTATTTGTTATAAGCAACACCCCACATCTTGGTACCAATTTTCTATATTAGTCCATTTTCTGCTAATTCATTCATGGAGTAATGGATTAATGGTTTGATGGGATATCAAGGAGTGGTTCTGATGGCTTTATAAGGATTGCAAGTGAGCACATTAACTCTCTTGCTCATGCCATCCTCACCATGTTATTGTCTGCATTGCTAATGGATCCTGTAGAGAGTTTCCACCCAGAAGGCGGCCCTCACCAGATTGCCTCTTGGACTCTGGGCTTTCAAGCCTCTGAAACTGTAAGAAATAAATTTTGTTTCTTTATAAATTACCCAGTTTTCAGGTAGTCTGTTATAAGCAATAAAAAATAGACTAATATAGCTTATAACTAAAGTATTTTCTTGCATATACTTACTTCTGCTTCTTTCTGTCTATATTGTCACCACTTTAGTTTCCATTCTTTCACCAAGTATAACAGTAATGACCTCTAACTAGTTTTCTTGATTTTGTTCTTGGTTCCTTTTAGTCCATTCTAGACATTTGCAACCAAATGAACTTAAAGTCCAAATCTGATAATCTCACTTCCCTGTGTAAACATCTACAATGCCTTATCATTACCCCATGATAAATGATTGCTAACATTTATTGAACATTATTGTGTGCATTATAATGATTGTTATTACACCATTATTTTACTTGACATATGGCAAAACTGAGGCTTGGAGGCTTAAGTAATTAACCCAAAGTCCCAGAATGAGTTATTTCCCAAAGCATTCTTAGTCAATAACAACTGAATGATTCCAAGGTCCATATTCATATGCGTGCAATACTTCTTCCCAAAGGTATTATTGGACGCTTTCAAAAATTGTTTTTTGCTTATTTCTTCAGCCTGATCTCTTGCCCCTGCTTTGATTCTAAACTTTGTTCTAAACCTCATTGACTTTCTGTTTTCAGAGATGCCATATTCTCTTTCTTTTTTTCTCCTTAAAATGTTTTGTACACTCCCATTTCTTTTTCCTTTCTTTTCTCCAGAAAACTCCTATTTGTCCTTCCAAGTCTCAGCTTAAGTAACCCCCTATCTTGAGTTACCTTGGTAATCCCTTCCGATGCCCACCCCCAAAATAAATTCACACACACAAATAAAACAAAATTAGTTTAGGTGACATTTTGTGTTTTTCTTTTTCTTTTCTTAAATACGTAAAATTTTTGAGTTTGTTGTTTTAAACAAATCAATGTATTTAAAAAATTAATTGATAATATATCATTAGAGGACAGTTTTATAGAAACCACAAGGAACATGAACACAAAAAAATTTTATGCAACACACAGAAGTATAATAACTTTATGAAACTTAGAACTCCAAGGAGTTTACAACAGAGCCCAGTAGCCACAAAATTTTTAAATGGAGCACAGATTTTTTTCAAGTCCTAGGAATCATTCAACCTAATGTTTTTAATGACAAATGAGAAAGCCATAATAATAATAATAATAATAATAATAATGGTAGCATTTTACTGAGGGCTCATATGTGTCCCTCACCTGTCACATGTACAAGTAAGTGTACCCACCTAAGAACACACCCTCACTCCTGTTCTTCTCAATCTTGCTTTACCTTTTTCTTCCCTAAAGCAATTATTAGTTTGTAATATACCACATAATTTACATATTTATTACTCTATACTCATTATTTTTTTCATAATACCCTGTATGTGTAGCAATTAACCACAAAATGAATTGTAATTTCCAACTGGACTCTTAGCTCTGTCAATCATTAAACAATTCCACTTGCCACTGTACTACCATTGATTTCATTAAGGTATTTCTTGTTTTAAAGCATTTGAATTTACAATTTCCACACTTGGAAAACTCTTCCCCCAGATGTTCTTATGACATTATCCTTGCTTCATTTGGATTTCTCCTCACTTGTCATCTCCTCAGAGAGACCTTCTACGATCACCCTGTCATGACTCTCCATTCCCTTACCCACCTTTATATATTTTTCTTTATAGCACCCATCACTAACTGACATTATATTAAAGTATGTCAATTTATTGTTTGTCCTCCCCTACTAGAATGTAAACACTTTAAGGCAGGGGCTCGGTCCCTTTTATTCACATTTCTACCTCCAGCAACTAGTTTAGTAGTACTTGATGCACAGTAGGTGTTCAGTAGATATTTGTTGAAAGAATATATCTTATTTAATCCTTATAAGAATCCTATGAGTTAGATACTATTAACTCCATTTTATAGATGCAGAAATGGAATCAGGGAAGTTAGATAACTTCCTCAAGTTTGTACAGCTTAGTAAGTGAAAGAACTAGCTGTCTTCATCCATTTGGGCTGCTGCAACAGAATATCATAGACTGGGTGGCTAATAAACAACAGAAATTTAGAGGACTCAGTTTTAGAGGCTGAGAAGTCCAAGATCAAGGCACTGGCAGACTAAGTGTCTGGTGAGGGCCTGCTTCCTGGTTCACAGACAGCTACCTTTCACCCTATGTCCTCACATGGAAGAAGGGGTGGGGGAACTCTCTGTGGTCTCTTTTATAAGGGCACTAATCCAATTTATGAGGGCTCTGCCCTCATGACCTAATCACCTCCAACATGTCCTACCTCCAGATACCATCACATGGGGATTAGGTTTCAACATGTGAATTTTGTAGGGTCACAATTATCGTCTATAGCACTAGCCAAGATACTTCTAACTTTAAAGTGATTGTTCTTCTTTTTCCTTTTCTTTCTTTTTTTTTTTTTAAAAGATGACCGGTAAGGGGATCTTAACCCTTGAGTTGGTGTTGTCAGCACCATGCTCTCCCAAGTGAGCTAACCGGCCATCCCTATATAGGGATCCAAACCTGTGGCCTTGGTGTTATCAGCAACACACTCTCCCAAGTGAGCCCAGGCTGGCCCCTTAAAGTGATTGTTTTTAACCATCATGCTTTATTATCAACATAGTTCACTTTGGAGGACATTTACACCACATATATAACCAAGTTTCTAGATATAAGGAATTTAACATTTTGTTAGTACTTTCTTCAAGAAAATCTTAGACATAGCATTCTAGAACTGAAACTTCCAGATCATTAACTACCTTGTTTCATTTGAAAAAAGGGAAAAAATCTAGAGAGGTGACTTGATTTACCCCAAATTACAGATTATGTTAAATCATAAGCCAGGTCTAGATCATTCAGTTACCGCATCAGTCTTATAACACGTGATTCATAAAGTTGTTACTTCCTTGCTTTCAGTTCTGTAAGCTTGAATTTCCAGATAGTAAAACAGATACTGAATTTCGTATTATTAAAAGTGTTTTTTTATAACTGACAGAATATCAACTTGCAAGACCTTCTGATGCAAACAGAAAGGAAATGTTATTTGGAAGCCTTGCTAGACCTGGACATCCTATGGGGAAATTTTTTTGGGGTAAGATACTAAATACTTCATCTTATTTCATATTTTCTAGTTAAGGAAGATTGAGAATAAGAAAAGTTGATAAAGAATTAGAAATTATAAAACTAAGGTAGCTAAGTATCTTTTACCATTTAGGTTAGTTAGATAGTTTTTCAAATAGAAAGTCATTAAGTATGCCTATATTTGGTTCTCTAACATTGGATATAGCAAGAATAGCACCCTCACGTATTGTGAATGCTTTCTAAATGCCAGGTACTGTGCTAATACTAAGCGAATTATCTCATTTGGTTACTATCACAATGTTTAGAAGTAGTACCATTATCATCTCCATTTAAAGGTAAAGAAACAGGCTCAGGGAAGTTAACTAATTTGCTTAAATCGTACAGGTAAAGTAGTGGATGTGGGATTTGGGTATCTGTTTATCTGTGCTCTACCCCAATCTGACATTTCCATTTATCAGCAGAGACTCAGCAATGATTTCTCTAAGTTTTTGAACTGTGACCTAATTTTGTTTAACTGGTAAGCTGTTTAACTGATACCTGTTTTTCATAACGGCTTTTTACTGGTTATAGCCTGGTATTAATCCTGTTGATCAAAGAGTAGAATCTTGGATGAGTTGATCTAAATTATACTTCATTCAAAGGGTGTTTTTCTTCCCTGTATATTTTGTGGAATTAGGCAGACTTTTTTTTTTTTTTTTTTGACCAGAAAGGGGGAAAATGATAACTACGTCAAAACCTCAAAGATACTGCCATCAGTGTTTTAAAAGAAAATCAATAAAATCTTCAATTCCAAGTAGCACTTACAGCCTAGTGTTCACAAACATAATTGGACACAGGGAATATAGTTTCCTGACTAATGCAGAGCTACTGCAGGAATAGTCTTTCAATAATTTACAGTTAAATGCAAAGTTTTGGTAATACAGAACTGGAAAATTAGCAAGTACAAAACCAGAGAATCTAATAGCACAAACTACATAGAGAGGTTCAAGTTAGAGGCTAAAAAAAGCTGAGAAAAAATATTTAACTGTGGGAGTAGCTGAACATCAGAGGATGAAAAAACAGCAGACCTTCTCTCACACAGGACAGTCCCATCTCATCCTTCCGACTTAGGGCAATCAAATACAGCAAGGAGTAAACAGCTTGGAGCAGCTGTTTCTTTCACAGGTGGGGTTTGGAATACATCATCCTGCCCACTTAATTTGGCAGGTTCCTTCAGCCTAAGAGAATAAGAATGTGCAATGCTAGAAAAAATGTACATACCTATCTCAAGGCTAAATTACCTGTGCTTTCAGGCTGTGGATCATCATTTCTAATGAATTTCATTTCTCTACAACCCATTTTCTAACACATAAACAACATGCTCTTGGGTCAGTTTTAGTTTAGACTAAATTGTTACATTATAGACTAAATTGTGTCCCCCCCAAATTCATATGCTGAAGCCCTAACTCCCATTGTGCCTGTATTTGGAGATAAGGTATTTAGGAGGTAATGAAGGTTAAATAAGGCATAAGTGTGGGTCCCTAATCCCACAGAACTGGTGGTCTTATAAGAAGAGAGACATCTCTCTCTTTGCCCCATAAATATATAGTGAGAAGTCAGCTGTCTGGAAGCCAGAAAGAGCACCCTACCCAGGAACTGAATTGGCCAGAACCTTGTTCTTGGACTTCTGGCCTCTCAAACTGTGAGAAAATCAATTTCTGTTGTTTAAGCCATGCAGTCTATGGAATTTTGTTATGGCAGCTCCAGCAGACTAAAACACTGTATGTGTAGTATAGGTTAACTTTTTCTATCTTGATTCACTTATTAAAACATTTATTGAGCATCTATAATTTGTATGCAATTTCCTAGACAATGGGGGCATAAAGATGAAATTCACCTGATTCCAGTCCTCAAGCTTACTTTCTGATAGCAGAGAAGGCATGTACAAAAACACTTGAAAAACAGTCAAAAGTTATGGATGTCATATGAGGGTGACTGAAGCATGCTATTGTAGTTCACTCTTTCAACCATGCGCCACCGGGCCGGCCCAGCAGTTAAGTCTTTCTTCCCACTCCTAGCAGTTTGCATTTTACAAAATAAATGAAATCAGATATTTTTTCCTTGCATCAGATGAGTAAGCTAGTGAGTGGCTTTTTCTAGTTCTTCATTCTAATACAGAATTATTTTAAATTTATGAAAGAGAAATTAGCTTGAAATGTTAGAATAATTTGTTATAACAACCGACTGGTTATTATTATCTTGGCTTAATGGAAATTTCTGTCAATAATTAGCAGTGCTTTTTGTGTATGGAAAGGAAATAAAAGCCATGCCAAATTTGTGGGTTTTATTATTATATTTTTTTATTTGTCTGATAAGAAGTGAGTGTTACAACAATCACAATTCCTTGAAGTTGTTAAGCCAAGCGAACAGCTACGAGGTTGATAGAAGGGAGGGGGGAAAGGGAGGGGGAAGGGAGGATTTGTTAATGGGCTACAAAAATCAACCACATTGTATACTGATAAAATAAAATAAAATTTTAAAACAAACAAACTGAAACCCCAAAAAACAAACAAAAAAAGAAGTGAGTGTTAGCTATGGAAATGTCAGATGGCATATGGGAATGTCTTTCACTGTGAAACTTTACCAATATAATTAGAGGTATATTTAATAGAGGAATTCATTATGTTCTGTCAGTCTCTGATGAGCATTTAAAAAATTCTCTTTAATATTATTCACTAATAACTTTGGTTCCTTAATCAGACAGGTTAAAGAGTCTTTGAGGCATTTAATACTAATTAATTTGTATTGACCATGTTTTGGAAGAATTAAAGTTAAAATACCTTCAACCAGATTGGAAGCCCCTAGAAGGAGGGACTACGTTTTTTAAATACCACAGTGCCTAATATAGTGCTTTATACCTAATAATCGCTCCATATATATTTGTTGAATAAAAAAAAGCATTATCTCTAGTATAAGTTTTCTTTATGAAATGGGTTTGTATAGGAGGAGAACTGAAATTGAATTGGGCTGATAGAGGTAGTAAATATTGGGGAGAAGGTGTCTTAGTTCATTATTTTCTATTTCTTGTGAGTTGTAGAGTCATTTGAGTTATTGGAGCTGAGGTGAAGAATAGTTAAGGATTTTGTGGCTTGGCTGCCATCTATTTGCTCATTCCTAGAATGCTTTTCAGCCAAGAGTATGTAGAATAGATTATAAATATCTGTGGGTTAGATATTCCCAAAGATACTGCTTATAAAGGCTTTTGCCAATTAAATTTAATGTATTTGTTTTATTTTTAGTGGGTTACCCAAACCAAACTTTGGCCATTTGACGGATCCATTTGACACACCAGCATTTAACAAACTTTATAGAGGTTCGTGAACCAAAGATTTAAAACTGTTTGAAATAACTTTAGCATATTCTCTAAAACTTAATTGAGGCTGCCGGTTTTCTTTGAATATGAGAACATAACAGGAAGTATAGCTGGATTGGAAAGGGAGTAGATGGGCAGTGGAGATCCAGTTAGTGACAGATAGCAGGCCACTGACTAGCTACAGATTGATTGGTTTTGGTGCCTTGCTACTTGAGTCTGTGATGTCTTCTCTCTGTTTTACCTTTGTTTCTTTTTGTTCTTTGGCTTTCTGTTTCTTTTCTATTTCACTTTTTTTTTTTTTTGTCCTTTTTGAGACCGGCCGCACCGCGCTCAGCCAGTGAGCGCTGTGAGCGCACTGGTCATCCCTATATAGGATCCGAACCTGCGGTGGGAACGCTGCTGCGCTCCCAGCGCTGCTGCGCTCCCAGCGCTGCACTCTCCCGAGTGCGCCACAGGCTCGGCCCTGTTTCTTTTCTATTTCATTTGATCTATATTCTGTTCTTTTTTGCATCCAAAGAGAGAAAAGTAGAACAGAGGGATAATACTTTGGAAATAGTTTCCTTTTAACTTCATTATAAAAACAATATTTGTGAAGTGAAGAAAATTTAAAGTAAAATGTCGGGAAATGGGTGGGGGAGAATCACCATTAAATCTTATGCAGAGATATTATTTTTGTCAAATTCTCTTATGATTTTTCTCTTTTTTTTGGTGGCTGACCAGTACAGGGATCTGAACCCTTGACCTTGGTGTTATCAGCACCATACTCTAACCAAATGAACTAACCGGCCAGCCCTTCTGATTTTTTTATAGGTATATTTTCTTAACACAGTTGAGAAGATAAAGTGTATACATTTCTGTCTCCTTTTTTTGATTTAATATTATATCTGTAATAACTGCATAATGAGTCATCACCTGACTATGCTGTAATTTACTTAAGAATTTGCCCTTAATGAATATTGCAGAAACATTCTTTTTTTTTTTTTTTTTTTTTTTTTTTTTTTTTTTTTTTTTTTT